GCTTACCCCTAAAAGTATTGACACTTTGAATACAGTGACTCAAAAAATTGAGATGCTACAGGCAGATAAAATGCATTTACACTTGCCAATTTCTCTGCTTGTTGTTAATACGCAACAAAGGCCATTAGGAGTTAGATGTCAAATCAACAGTAATTCTGTTTACTTTTTTAAATGGGTTTTTTTACCACATACCCAGAGAAAGACTGTGACAGAACCATTAAATATGATTGTTGACTTAGTCGCCAAAGGCTGTACAAGGGTTCAACATTTAACAGGCAACGACCCTGAAGAATTGTATTTACCATTAACTGTAACAGACTTTCAGGTCCCTTTTCCTCAGTCTGTTTCTTTCCAAACAGTGTTAGCAGACTTTACAGGAAAAAAAAAAAATATGGTACTCCAAAACATAAATTGCTAAAAGCTTTTTCAGATTTTGATCTACAGGAGTGATACGTAATTCAAACGCAACCCATTCAAGACGCTAAAACCATTTTTGTTGATGGCTCTAGAAAAAAAACAGCAAAGCTGCTGTTGTTTGGTTTGAAAATGATTCCTGGCAATCCTCTGTTATACATGTGGATGACTCTACACTGCTTGTTGAAATTGCTGCAGTCTTGCATGAGCTACAGTTGTTCCCTGCAGAATCCTTAAATATTGTTTGTGACTCAGAATATGTTGTTTGATTGTTATCATGCCTTCCTTTTAGCATGTTAAATCAATAACTGTGCACTGACATTTTGCTGAAGCTAAAACTTTGTTTGGAAACTAGGATATATTCTGTTTTCATTGGTCATATTAGATTGCATTCCAACCTGCCTGGCCCTTTTAACTGCGGGTAGACATAGCAAACTCCTTGACTGTTAACTCTCAGCATTTACTTCTGCAGCCACTTCACATTCCTCTTTTCATCAGAATGCCTCTGCTTTAAAGAAACAGTTTAACCTGTCTTCTTCTCAAGCAAAGCAAATGGTCAAGTCTTGCCCTGACTGTCAGTCAACAGCTCAGTCCTCATTTGCCATGGGTGTAAATCTTCATGGCTTAAAGGCAAATGAGATTTGGCAAACAAATGTTACACATATCGCTTCCTTTGGTGCCTTTAAATATGTTCATATGTCTGTTGACACATTTTCACATGTGATTTCAGCTTCTGCCCATAAAGGAGAGAAGGCCCGTGATGTTATCCAACATTTAACACATGCATATGCTACCTGAGGAGTTCCTTCCCAGCTGAAAACAGAGAATAGCCCTGTGAATAATTCATTAGCTTTATCACTATTTTTACAACAATCGGGTGTCATGCATGTCACTGGTATTCCCCAGTCCTCTACAGGAAGCCAGGGGATTGTGAAATGAGCTCACACTGTTCTGAAATTCATGCTACAAAAACAAAAAAGGGGGAATATGGTCCCTCAAGAACAATTAGACAATGCCATCTATACACTGAATTTTTTGAATTGCACTCAATCTTGCATGAATACTCCTGTCACTGCACTACAATGACATTTTCCTCTGACACTCCACCTTCTGAATGTGCTGGAGTGTGGTATCGTGACCCTTTGGGGCCACAGAAACGGGAAGGGCCTGTGGAGCTGATAACCTGGGGGTGGGGTATGCTTGTGCCCTCCTACCTGCAGGTCTGCAGTGGTTGCCTGCAAAGGTTGTCAAGCCAAACCATGAGCTGGACAGACAAGTTGAAGAACCCAGTGCCTCAGATGCTAGAGCTGACCTTGAAGACCCCAATCAGAATGAGACAGAGAAAAAGGAAAGATTTGCAAAACATTACTTGGGGGCAACTGAGAAGTCTACATCAAACTGCAAGTACTGTGATGAGCGCTGTAGGTATGGAGTCCTCTCCAATTAATACTTTTCTGGCTTAACTAGCAATCATAGAATCATAGAATAGTTAGGGTTGGAAAGGACCTTGAGATCATCTAATTCCAACCCCCCTGCCATGGGCAGGGACACCTCACACTAAACCATATCACCTAAGGCTTCGTCCAACCTGGCCTTGAACACTGCCAAGGATGGAGCACTCACAACCTCCCTGGGCAACCCATTCCAGTGTCTCCCCACCCTAACAGGAAAGAATTTCCTCCTTACATCCAACCTAAACTTCCCCTGTTTAAGTTTTAATCCGTTACCCCTTGTCCTATCACTACAGTCCCTAATGAAGAGTCCATCCCCCGCATCCCTATAGGCCCCCTTCAGATACTGGAAGGCCACTATGAGGTCTCCACACAGCCTTCTCTTCTCCAGAATGAACAGCCCCAACTTCCTCAGCCTGTCTTCATACAGGAAGTGCTCCAGTCCCCTGGTCATCCTCCTTGTGGCCCTTCTCTGGACTTCTTCCAACAGTTCCATGTCCTTTTTATGTCGAGGACACCAGAACTGCACACAATACTCCAGGTGAGGTCTCATGAGAGCAGAGTAGAGGGGCAGGATCACCTCCTTCAACCTGCTGGTTACGCTCCTTTTCATGCAGCCCAGGATGTGGTTGGCTTTCTGGGCTGCAAGCGCACACTGAAGCCGGCTCATGTTCATTTTCTCATCGACCAACACCCTCAAGTTTCTCTCCACAGGGCTGCTCTGAATCTCTTCTCTGCCCAACCTGTAGCTGTGCCTGGGATTGCTGTGACCCAGGTGTAGGACCTTGCACTTGGCATGGTTAAACTTCATGAGGTTGGTATCAGCCCACCTCACAAGCGTGTCAAGGTCCCTCTGGATGGCATTCCTTCTCTCCAGGGTATCAACCGAACCACACAGCTTGGTGTCATTGGCAAACTTGCTGAGGGTGCACTCAATCCCACTGTCCATGTCAGCCACAAAGATGTTGAACAAGACCGGTCCCAACAGCGATCCCCAAGGGACACCACTCGTTACTGGTCTCCAGCCAGACACTGAGCCATTGACCACAACTCTTTGCGTGAGGCCATCCAGCCAGTTCTTTATCCACAGAGTGGTCCACCCATCAAATTGATGCCTCTCCAATTGAGAGACAAATAATAATACATGCAAATCAATGAAGTCTATAACCAGACTGCGTTTAACAACTCAAATACATGTGCTTGCAATGTAGCTATTATTAGAGCCTATGATTTTATGTATAAACCACCTGCATTTACTAGCCAGTTGCTAGTAAGAAACTACACACTATATCGTAGTAAAACCCCAACCCCTATCAGTATGGATTTCTCACTTGTAAAAGAGATGTCGAGCATGCAAATTTACAGTAGCTGCTAGAATATGCTAAGGCAGAAGCTAGAAAGATCCTAATAACTGTACATCATGCTGGTAGTGTTATAAAGCAGGTAACAGAACAAATTAAGAAGGTGGGAGAACATCACTGGTGGGAAGTTTTCTGTGGCTGGTCCTCCACTGTCACTACTACCCTCAATGTACTGCTGCACCCTGTAGTAGTTATACTGCTAATGTAAATCTGTGTGTGCTTTCCCATGGTAGTGACTTGTTACTGGATGAGGCTGGTGAAACTCTGCCTTGACAATGAGGTGCAAGGACTGAGGCTGGCCAAATGCCTCTTAGTACAGTCAAGAACAAGGCTGGGTTGGCCTCTGTGTTTGCCACCAAGAAGAACCTTTAGCTCTACTGTTGGCTGTAACTCAGTAGGCACTGAGTGCTGGGAACACATGCTATGCCAGATCTTGCTGTGACAGGTGGCCTCCTCTGTTATAAGAGGGCCATTCAGAAGGGAAGGGCAGGCTAAGCAGCCTATGGTTGGCACAAGAGATTATTTAGTCCAAATATCCTGCTCAAGCACAGTCACCTAAAGCAGGTTTCATCACCCTCAAGATAAAAAAGCAGAAGTTAGCATAACTATTATAAGCTATAATAATACAATAAGTAACTATTGTATTTGAACCTTCCATCTTCAAATGCTAATATCAAGAAGCTGCTCTTGTGTGATTTAAGACTCCTTAAGCAGAAGCAGAGAAGGAGACAAGGAAAGCCAAGGACTGTGTCTTTGGAAGTAACAGCATCTATCTTCAGGTTCCCAAGGCTCCCAGTACGTCTGGCTAGTGCATTGGTGAGATCTTGTCTTTGGAGCCTGGACACCACCACTTTACTTTGCTTCTCCTCCATCTGATGTGGAGACTTGTTGCCAGCTTGCAAAGAACCAAAGCCAAAGTGCTTGCCGCCTTGATCGTGCAACACAAAAAAGGGGGAGATATGGGAACTGCAAGCTGTCCTGTTCCCCCTAAGTGGATAATTAAAGAATAAGATTGCTGACAGTGCACCTGCGTCTTGAGCAAGCCAGAGAATATTTGTGGGCATGGGTGCAAGGCTGGGCGGGGAAACAGCCTAGGGAGTGATTGTTTATAGAATGGAATTTATAGTGGCTGAAGACAGTCACTGTGATTGCTGTGGTTTCTATTTGGCTTCATAGCTCAGGCTCATATCTGTATGCTATATTTATTATCATGCTGGAGTGAATAAAGTAGAACTAATTGTGGAAGCATGGGGGGGGGTCTGTATGTGTTTAGCCTCTTTCTTTAGAGGTGCTGCAATGAATAGTAGCTCTGAAAATTGTTACTGGTGTAACATGAAATAGTATGCAGAGTTGTTCAATCGTTGTGTTGCAATAATAGAAAAGTCAAAGGCAGGCTTTTTATCTCCTAAAAAAACCTGGATATTATGAATTTTCTGCGGTGGATTTCTGTTGTGATGAGGGAGTGATTCAGATGAGGTTTTCTAGGTGTAATCCATTTCATGGGTAAACTGCCAAAACCAGACACAAATTTTGACACCCCTCCCCTTCCCTTTAATGTGTGTGCTCATGTGTAAATTCAGACATTTAAAATCAGTTTCTGATAAGGTAGTATTTAAATCACCATCAGGGATTTTAATTATACCAGATCTTTACCATTTATTCTAGCTGTTCAAATTAAAAAATAAATTAAAAAAAATTAAGATTTACAGATTAAAGATTCTTATTTGAATAACCAATTGAAAAGTTTAAATCTGATTTACTTTAATGTACCTACCTTTCTACTCATGAAGATATAGATGACTGGATTATAAGCAGTGCTTGACTTCGCAAAGAAAGATGGGATGATGGCTACTGTTGGAGTTACAAGGTTGCTATAGCCATACGTTACCAGGAGGGAAACCACTGCATAGGGCATCCAACAAATAAGAAACGTGGAGATCATTAAGAAACACATTTTAGCCACTTTCTTTTCATATTTTAGAAGTTTGACCACTTGAACAGTCTGGAAATCTTCCACACAGCGAAGCTGCAGAAGAAAAAAAATAAAATGGTGAAGTACGATAGCTCTATAGTTTACTTGAAAATTAATAGTTCTACATTTCTTTATAACTAATCTGCTAATTCAGTTTTAGGCACAGACACTACATATCTTCTCATATGAACCACAATTCTGGAATTTTATGTCACGCATACCAGACTTTTACTGGGTATATTAGGTGTAAAAATATAATTAGAAGAAAAACAGGATAGCATATCTGCTGGAAAACAACAAATCCAGTGATGTAACAAAACATGCTGCACGTATTTTAGAAAACTGACTTGCTCTCACCCACTGGCATAAGCAAGTTCAGTTTACATTTAGTGATCCTTTGTCTGACTAGTTAGACAATCCTGCAGATCTGTGTCATCAGCAATCTTTAAAGAGAAGATAATTGCATAAATAGATTTTTCTGTACTGCTCTGCCACTTAGTTTGTTACCCTGCAATTATGAAAACTCCATTTACAGCAGAACACTAGGCAGCCGGTTCCCAGTGTTATCTGAATGAGTCATAAGATGAGGAAAAGATGTGGGACATGCATGTGAGTGTTCTCCATAACAATTATTTGTTGTGCCAATACTGTTGACCACAAACTTGAAGGGATCCATGCTAATTATTCACAGAATACAAAACATTAACACTTTCTGACACAAGGATCTGGACTGAATTAAAATGGGTCGCCTTAACATAAGAAACTGTTTTAACAGGGCTTAATCTCCACTTGGAAGAGTTTTACAGGGTTGTCTTCTCAGGAGTGGTGAGGAGAAGACAGTTCTCTGATCAGGAAAACTGCAGTTTTATATTTGCCCCTTTTCAAGGCAAAAAAAAACCCTGATGTGAGTTAGTGAGTGTGAGCATTCCTTAAACTACCTCCCTGTCAAACTACACAACAAATAGATCTTGGTGTCTTTAGGTTGGTTCTCCTCCAACCCTACATCCTGTCTATTGGTACCTGACATGAATGAACATTAAACATTCAAAAGTTGGAATAGGAAGCAAGAGTGTGAATTTAGACTCTGATCCAAGCTTAATATACAGCATTTTTCACTGAAAATGCTACAGTAAGAGAACTCTTATTTGAATTAACTTACCATTCTTACTGCATAGACAATATGGCCATAGCAATAGGCCATGATCCCCACAGGTGCTACTAGACACCCAAGGAAAAAAAGGATTACAAAGGAGGTATCATTGGGGTCTTTTGACTTCCAGTCAACGGAGCAACCTAATCCATGAATTTCCAGTGTGTATCTGTTCCAGCCCAAAAGAGGTGCTCCAGTCCAGGCTAATGAGTAGAGCCAGATGTATGTGATAGCCCGCCAAGACCAAGAGAAGTCAATCACTTTAGCATGAACTACTCGAATGTAGCGTTCATAGGCAAGAACAGTGAGAGTCATAATTGAAACAATTCCTGTAAGAAAAATAAAGAAAATCAATTAAATTACTCACAAACATTGCAAAGTGGACTGAAGTCCTCCTAATAAACATTTCCTTTGCCAGCAGGTTAACTCACAATTAGCTGGCTCATATTGTGAATCTAACACCAATATACTTTTTGGTTAACACCCCATCACTCACTAACTACTAACTCAAACAGTACCACTAACTTTAAGACTCCTCAGAGAAGGGTGCTGACGTGACCCATGACATACAATAACCATGAAGAAGGACAAGGAAAAAAAATAAAATAGAACAAGCCAATACTTCTTCCTAAATATTACTTCATGAAGTGAGAGATCATGCTCACACTGAGCTTCTTCTGTTAACAGTTGTTGAAGGGTTTGCTACTGTTGTCATTGGGTTGTTTGGTTTTAGGGGGGGTTGTCTGTTTTAGGGTGGGCTTCACGGGGGCGGGGGGGAGGGGGGGGGAACTGTTTTAAGGTTGGGGTATTTGTTTTTTTTTGTTTTTTTTTTTTTTTTGAGATTTAGCTGCCATAAAGAAATGAGATACTCAGCAATAACAAAATCTGTTACAAACCTAGGGAATTCAGAGTTCAGACTCAAGTCAGAGAAAGCCTTCAACAACTGAGCATAGCTATACACCTTTAACGTGACCAAAATTACTAGGAGAATTCCAATTTCTTTGAAGATTTCTCGAGAGTCTTTGCATACCAAAGAACAACCAGGAAAGTGTTATATTGCTGAAGGAGTCCCACTTGTAAGACATTGGGTTATTTTGAGTGTCCTTTCCTATCTTGCTGATATCATAAAAATATCAGTGTTATTTTCAATTATCTGTGTACTCTTTCAACCCCACTGTACACTTACTAACATGTTATGCCATAAATCAGAGATTTTTCAGCTCTCAGCATTACCTTATCCTGACACTACCAATAAACTGCTTTTACTGAATGAGCAAATTGAAATACAGGCAGTATCTCTCAGCATTCAGACATTGCCGAGTGGAACAGAAATAGTCAGAGGAGCAATTTCTGAGTAGTGTCATCAGCATTTCTGAAGCTATTTAACTCAGAGGCATACCGAAGACTGAACAGGGTTTGTTTCTTGTTTTGTTTTCTTTCCCTCCTTTAATGTTACCAAAACCAATAAAATATTTCATGCACTTCTTTTTCACACTACTTTACTCCCATAGAATGCAGAAAACTTAGGGTTGTAAATTTGCAGATTTGACTGTCCATCTTTTTAACATAGAAATTCTAGAGAGTAACTCTTACGACTTCAGTTAAACACCCATTACACTGCATAGGAATGTTTTAGAACTGTTTCCATATTACATATGGAAATATTACATATTTCCTGGGCTTGACATTAATCCCAGGCCTTGGAAACAAAAATCCAGGTTGATGCAAACACAGGTCCACCATCAGTGAAGGAAGAGTTCATATATGAAATATTACAGGAGCCTGACACCTACAAATAGATGGGCCCTGACAGCGTACACCTGAGGGTTTAAGAGAGGTGGCTGACATTGTTGCAAGGTCTGTCTCCATAATCTTTGAGAAGTCATGGAGACTGGGGGACAACCCAGAAGACTAGAAGGCAAATGTCACCTCCATCTACAAGAAGGGCTTAAAGGAGGATCCAGGATATTTCAGGCCCATCAGTCTTCAGTCCCTGGGAAAGTTATGGAATGAATCCTCCTGGGGTCTTTCACAAGTCAAATGAAGCACGTAACTGGGAGAAGCCAGCATGGATTCACCAGGGGCAATCGCACTTGACAAACCTGACTTCTACAACCTGCTCAGTTGATGTGGGGCCAGTGCTGGACATTGTCTACCTGGATTTCTCCAAGGCTTTTGATACAGTCTCCCCCTGCCTCCTCCTAGAGAAACTGCTGTATTACGGTCTAGACAAGTGGTCTGTGTGGTGGGTGGGGAACTGACTGCACCCAGAAGGTGATGGTGAATGGCTCCTTTTCAAATTGGAGACCTGTCACTAGTGGGGTCCCCCTGAGATCAATATTGGGCCCAATGCCATTTAATACCTTCATGAATGACCTGGGTGATGGGATCTAGTGTACCCTGATGAAGTGTACTGATGATACCAAATGGAGTGGGGAAGGCCACCCTGCCAGGAGACCTGGATAGGTTGGAGGAGTGGGCTGACAAGACGCAGTGGAAGTTCAACAGGACAACTGTTAAGGTCTGGGAAAACATAACCCAGGAGTGCAGCACAGGCTGGGATCTGCCCAGCTGGGGAGCAGCTCTCTGGAAAGGGATGTGGTGATCTTGGTGGACAATAGGCTTAATAAGAGTAAACAGTGTGCAGCTGTGGCAAAGAAAGCCAACAGGATGCTGGGTTGCATCAACAAAGCACTCTACTCAGTGCTTGTCAGGCCACACCTGGAATACTGTGTCCAGTTTTGGTCCCTGCTGTGCAAAAGAGATGTGGACAGGCTGGAAAGGGTCCAGTCAAGAGCCAAAAAGATGTCAAAAGGACTGGGAAAACATGTGAGAAAGGCTGAGAGAACTGGTTTTGTTCAGCCTTGAGGAAAGAAGGCTCAGGGGAGACCTTTATCACCATGTTTCAGTATTTAAAGGGTGGCTACAAAGAAAAGGGATACTCCCTTTTTACACAGGGTCACATGAAAGAGATGAGGGGTTATTCCTGGGAAGATTCCAACTGGACGCTAGAGGAAAATTTTTCACAACAAGAACAATCAACCATCGGAATAATCTCCTGAGGGAAGTGGTGGACTCCTCAACACTGGACACTTAAGGTTCAGCGGGACAGCGTTTTGGGTCATGTTGTCTAGACTGTGCTTTTGCCAAGAAAGGTTGGACCAGATGACCCTTGGGGTCATAAAACTTACCTTGATTTTACTGTAAAGTCTGTGTAATTTGAAAGTTAAACCTGGGATTTCAAGGTTTCAAATGCTACAAGTTGTTTAAGCCCTCAAAATACAAGCAACTGCACAATTCTCAGTTACACCACAAACTGGGGAGCTCTTACTTTTGACCAAAATAATGACTGTAATTCTTGGTAACAGTTTTCCAGCTTGTAGATATTCCAACTATTTCTTTTGTTCCTAAATCTAAAGTACAAACCCCCCCCCAAAAAAAAAAAAAAATCTCAATAGGTAGAATCTTCAGAATTGTCAACATTTCTTAGGAGTTTATGTTCCACTAAATGTCAATGGATCATAAGGTCCAGTTTTTCACTAGGGGATGGAGGATGTCCTTGGTTTTTTAATACAACTTCAGTATAGGGAAGAACAAGACTAAAACATAAAAAAAAATCTGAATTCCTCCCCACTATACATCTTTTCCATTCTGCATCAACATGCAACCAAAGCACATTCAACATGTCTAACAAAAGCTCTGAGAGAGAAGCAGCACAGATTACCTCACATAACTAGAATAACCTCATTGCGAGACCAGTATCAGTCAGTATAAACTGACTTTAATATCTTTGAATGATCTGTAACAATGACTGGAAACTTTATATGTCATTTGAGTTTTCCAACTACTGGGAATTTCAGCTATTCTGTGTGCACACTTTGTGGCAACAAATTCCATTATGAAGCTGCAAAACCATAAAAGCAGAAGATGCCCAAGGGACTCTAAGTGGCAAGAGCTCGAATATGCCTGCCACTTCCACATGTAATGACACAAACTAATAACATTCACAGCAACAAAGATATTGAAAAAGTTTGTTCAGACAACTTGCCACAGTCAGTGTGTAACGCGTATTTTGTCAGTCTGCAAGTTTTTTCCATATGCTAACAGTAGTGTTAAGTTCAACCGTATTTCTATAAAACACAAACTAAAACTAATATATAAAATTTTATGAGTCGCTCATATCTGGTTTGGGCAATAACCTGTACCTCTGCTGCACTGATTGCAAGGAAGGAAAATTTCCTCTCAAATGAGGAAATTAAATGAGAAGTTGGGAAGGGAGAATTTATACATTTTTGTTTAAATGTAATTCAGCTGGAGTTAACTGATGTCAAGGGACAGTTTCAAGCAGCATTTGTTATACTCAATATCCTAGACAGTACTTTTTGGTGGGAAAGGATGGAAATACATAGCAGTAGAAAATAAAACTACCAGTTTACTTCTTTGCATGCTCAGAAATCAAACTGAAAGACAAATTTCGACCATAACAGATCAGTGTAAAGAATGTTTTCCTTGCATCCAGCCTGAATCTTCCCTCTCTTAGTTTCAAACCATCACCCCTCTTCCTATTGCAACAGGCCCTGCTAAAAAGTCTCTTCCGGTCTTTATTATAGGCCCCTTTTAAGTACTGTAAGTTCTCCCCAGTCTCTTCTCTCAAAGAGGAGAGGAAGAAATTATGCTATGGCATAATGTAGCAAAAGAGATTCAACTCTGAGACAGACCATGACTTCTGTTAAAGAACATATTTTCTATATCAATTAATCCTTGACCTACATCCAAATATTGAATTACTATTTTGCATACTGATCAGAGGGGAAAGCCTGTCTTCTGAAATCCCCCTTGCCTCATTCACATTTGAAAAGCTAGGCAGCAGCAATTTAGTTGAAACAACTTGTCCAAGACAAGGTGCTACTTCAGTCTTCAGCTGTGTATTACAAAACATATAACCAGTCTTTTTAAATTCAGCAATTAGGTGTATGATATGTTTTAGGCAATAGCTATGTATCACTTCTGAATTTTCAAGAAATTAGAGCATCTGCAGGAAAATCTAGGTAGACAAAAATCACTTCTAGGCATAATAGACTTGTATGTTTTATATACACCTCTCCTATAAAACTACAGAGGAATTAACATCTCTTCCATGTTCAATCCCACAAGTGATCAACTCGCTTGGAAAAAAATTGCTAAAGCTGAATGCACACCGAGTCTCCATCTGTCTGTAACACAAGATCCTAAAATCATCTGCTGACTGACCATATAAAATGCTTTTAGTGAGATTAAGTCAGTGCATATAACATACATTAGTAACACAAGAGGGTGGCACAGGGCCTCATTCCTTCAGTGTGAAAAGTCTTAGATAACATAGCTAACAATTATACACAGAAAAATGGTTTTGCTTTGCTTTGTTTTAAAGCCAGGTCCACAGGAAAGTCTCTAGCAATTAATCCTTACTTCAGCATGATATATGTGTGTGACAGAAGGAAGGAGTAGGGAGGTAGTCAGCTTGCCTTGAAACAAGTAAATAGCATAACCTCAGCTATACACTCTGCAGCTCTTCTAGGGAAAAGTAAGACTGCTTACAAAATTCCCCATGATCCAGTTCACATTACTGGAAGGGAGTATACACCTGGATCTTAACATTTACTTGGTAGCTCATCAGGATCAACCCACCACATGCCAGTGGCGACTTGTCCAGAAGGGTCATAATACTTTCAATTAACTTGACATTAAAAGCTGGCAGTGCTTATTTCCCTTACAAGAATAGCTTACAGTTAGGAAATACAAATGTCTCTAATCACACTTCAGTAGCACTAGCCTTTTAATCACAAACAATGGAAGTTTAATAATAGAAAGCCAACCCCAAAGTACACCCTTACTATGCAATCTTCTGTCCAGAGACTGCCTCAGATATGTGATTTTTACTCCTGTTTCTCAAGACCATTTCTATTACTATTCAGTTTTACCACTCTTTTCTTCCTTTGCTTAATTAAACATAACAGAAAGTATTAGAAGAACACTACTGGCAGATGGTTGCCATTTCTTGTAGCTGAAGTGATGTATGTTTGAAAGTTATATATGTACATTCCACAGGATCAGACTAGCTTACTTCTGTTCAGAAGTAAGAACCTATTTCTATGTACAGAAGGCATTAAAGCAGATATCCATTGCCTGGGAATGGGCAGGGTAAAAACTTCTCTTGTGCACATCAAGTTCTGCAACAATCACTGTCATTTTAAAAACTCTTGTTAACCTGCTTGTGAAAAGGCAGAAGATGCACACAAAGATTATATGCCTTGAGCCTGTATTGCGCAAATACTTGCTTCAGGTTACAGGGTATCTGTACTTTAAAGACATTTGGGTATGTTTACCTGCCAAGTGTCTGCTCTAGCAATTATACCCAAAAACTTATGCTCTCAGTGACAGACAGCAAACCTCTTAGGTACGAGTAGTCTTACTAAATCGGATGAAGAGATTGCACGGATCACTGCTGTTCACAGCTTGGTCAACTACAGACAGGGGAAAAGTTAAAAGCTTTTACATAACGAGAGGGTGGCAGGCTCAGTGGGACCAGCATAGAATTGACTGCACACCTCACAGAGAAGCAACCTTCACAGTTTAAATACATCACTTAATTGAAGTAGGTATCATATTCCACCAGGGTACACCACCCATTAAAAAATAAATACTGGAACTCAGTATAATTAATTAAATGGGGATTACTGTCTAAGACAGACAACAACGTCATCAAAGACTTGTCTGTTAGTTATCTATGTTGCTTTCCCCACACTAGTATACGGCATGCTAAGAATGGCTTTGTAATAGCAAAGAGAAGCTCTTTTCCTGGCCTCTGTTGTGAAGACATATGTACCTGAACTGTATCTTGACTTCAAATTTTAATGTAAAATAAGAAAATAGGGATTCTACTTGTGTACAAGGACGTATGTTCAGTAGTCAAAATGATCCGTTTTGCACTGTAGCAACCAGAACTCTGAATATACTAAAGGCTCAATGAAAAACTTTCCAGTCCCAGGAAAAGCAGCCAACAGTAGCACGAACAGCAAATTCTGAGCTATACAACACAACACAAGCAGGTATTACTACATGGGGTTGCAGAGTGATAAAGTTATCATAATGCAGAAGGGAACTATTGCTAAGAACACAAAATACAGCCAGTTATCCCTAGACGCAGTCTGTAGCTCTGTTGCCACTTTCTGAACTGAAAAGTTTCAGAACATGAACATCTGCTTTCCCTGGTAACACTAGCAAATGTCTGAGAGCTGTGTACCACAGAAATCATCCAGTACCAAACCTTGCACAAGGGGGTAACTATATCTTGCATCCACCACAGCTTCCAAGCCATACAAGCCATAAGGTTTTTGCTGCATTATGCAGTACCAGTCACTAGCTATACAACATGCACGGTTTATTAAATAAGCACACTAATCCAAATCAGGTATATATCTCTATATAGTAAATAAGTACTATAAAGCAAATCATATATACACACACATATATAGTAAAAAAGAGTAAAGTATACCGCAAAATTAGCAATGTGTCAAATCATTGCTGCATAGAGAGAGCAAATTAAGAAGAAATACATCACCAATTACCACTGAATCATCATCCAGGCCCACACTTCCAGCTGGGAAGCCCCATTGCAGCCAATGCCAGGAGTGTCAGGTAGCTGGGAAAATTCCTGCACAGTGCGTCCACCTGTAGGTGAGGCTTCAGATTTGGCTACAAGAGAGTCCTGCTTTTATACGCTTAGAAAACATCTGGCTCTATGCCACATCTGTAATTGTTTACTCATGGGGCCATGCAGTTTCTCATGATCACACTGTTGTGTGAGCATTGGCCAGGAGCCCCAGTGTGGCCAAGCATGAAGGTCATAGAACAGCTTCACACCTACGTTCTCCTGCCTCTTTCTGAAAAAGAGTCATGATGAACATAAACATATATACCAAATACACTGTGACAAAAAAAACAAACTTTGTTATGTCTCCCAATCATGAGTGGAAATCAGCTGTCAGCTAGGTTCCCATCTATTCCATCAACTGTGATCATGACTGATCTGCTTTGTTCCAGCAACCCAAAGGTAGACCAGAGTGCCATGTGAAACAAAGACTCAGCAGGAAAACTACAAAGCTTACTAAAGACTTTCATTTGCCTTACTAGAGCCAATTTTCAGCGCATACACATTGCACGGGCACACTGTGATCCACCTTTAACTTACACACCTCTCCCAGAAAAAAAGTACCCGACATGAGCTTTAGATTTGGCTACTGATAGCCATTTTCACCACCAGAAACACAACCCTTGCTCTTCTGCAGCATCCTTTATCAGTAAAGCAAAGCCGTATTCCTTTGCCACTGCTACGACAGTCCTTGAATTTCGCATATGGTCAGAGGAATTGGCGGTACTGCCGCAGGGTGGGCAGCGTTGGAGGCGGACAGGCAGAACTGCCGCGGTGTGCAGCCGCGTTTCCAGCCGTGCCACCGGGGCAGGGCAATGCTGGCCCTGACATCAAGGTCGGACGCGCTACTCGCCCGCTGACCACAGCGTTTCCCCACATACAATACAACCTCGTGCTGTCCGAGCAGCACTCAGCCAACTCGGAGACCCCTTTTAACAACGCTGCTTTTTTTCCCTAAGTTTCCCGTCACATCGGCATGGGCTGGAGGCCGAAACGGATTCCCAATGAATTTAATGTCTGCTACGCGTCATTCTCCTCAGCGCTGTCGACCTTCCCAGAACTCTGCCGTGCGGAGCCGCCAGGAGGGGGGACCCGACCCTTTCTCCCTGGCAGCCACCACAGCTGCTGCTCCTCACTCTTCCTTCTCCCCGGGAGGGAAAGCGCCTCTCCCAGAGGGGAGCGGGGGACGGAGTGAGCTGACTGAAAGGGGACGAAGGGATGATGAAGTAAACTCCCGGGACGAGGCGGTCGCTTCAGGGCGGGGGAGAGGCGACGGCTGGGGAGGGGGTATGTGACGATTGGGAACAGGCAGGAGGGGGGACGGAAGCCCCGGGAAAGCTGACAGGGAGAGTACGGGCAGCCGGGAGGAGAGACTCAGCGGGACAGGAGGCGACCGTGACCCCAGCACCCACCGAAGAGGCTGTTGCTGAAGCCGTCCCAGACGCAGCCGGCAGCGTCCCACACCCAGCGGCTCCTCAAGCAGGACATGAAGGTAAGGCTCACCCCGAAGACAGACACCAGCAGGTCGCTGAGGCTGATGTTGACGAGGAAGAGGTTGGTGGGCGTGCGAAGCCGCTTGAACTTGTAGTAGAGCACCAGCACCAGCAAGTTGTTGCACAAGCCCAGCACGCCTATGGTGGCGACGAGCAGCGCCAGCAGCTCGTAAGTGCTGGCGCTGAAGAGAGGCCGCTCGCCCGGCACCTCTTGCTCTGCCGCCGCGGGCTCCGGGCGGCTGGTCGTGCCCGTGCTGTTCCCCGAGTGCATGGCTCGCAGACCGGCCGCAGCAGAGATAAACCTCTCCGCCCGCTCCTAGCCCCATAGCAGAGAGCTAGTGAGGGCAGGAGGAGGAGCCCCCTCCGGCTTCCCGCCCACTGAGGGCGCGCCCTAGAGTGGCCTCACCCTTGCCCGCCCGAGGGGGGCCTTACTGCCGCCACACGCTGGTGCCGGATGGCTCCTTCCCAACAAGTAGCTCCCCTCATTCTGTTATTTGCTGCGGTGAGCAGTCTCGTCATGGCTGGGATGTGGCTGTATTCTCATCTTCCCTAAAAAGTTCTCTGTGTGTTTTGGCTCGGCACGGCTGCCTTCAGCAGTGGTTCCTTCTAAGGAGACATGTTTGGGCAGATCTCTTTTGTGCCCCACTCTTGGGAGAGGTATAAACTGCTGAACCCATAGTTAAACTTCTCCAGATATCCTGCTGATGAAAACTCCTATTATAGCAATAGTTTCTTCTGAGGTGCTTCCCCACAGTGCACGGAGATGGCAGTATTTGTACCCTTAAAGCAAACACCAGCATCATGACCCAAGCAAACTTACAGCACAAGTGAACACCTTTTTGTCAGCCACGGAGCAAGAAAGGTACCAAATTTGTGCTACTAAGTCACGTAGTTTTATGTTTGTCTCTGGTGTGTGTTGTGTGAAAACAGTACAAGAACGGCCAAGCTGCCTGTGTACAGCCCTAGCAGGTTTTAGTGAGGGTGTTGTACTGGCCCCCAGATGTGCTAGGGTGGCAGTACTGACTTCAAATCCAAATGGTCCCTGAGAATATCACAGTAATTTTTGCTCAGCAAGGCCTAAAACACCTTGCCAAGTCAAACACCAGTTTTCTTCACAGGAAGACCTCCAGTTTGCTTTCTTAGCAGACCCACGCATGTGCTGGTGTGTTACAGCCTTCACAAAGGCCCAAATAAAACTTTCAGTTTAGATCTATTCTTAGTTTAGAATTAGAAGGAAAAGCTTCTAATTCCTTCTTAGTATCTAATTCCAAACAATTAATGTCACCTGTGGAAGCAACAGAATTTTCATGGAAATATGTCTTGGCAAACGATACCTCTGTTTCTTTTCCTCCCTTATACACGTAGTGATATGAAAAGGGCTAGACTGAGGGTGTGTTTCCTTGTGAACTGAGACTGAAAACACGGGTAGTTGAGTTGGTTTGATATCTTTCAAAACACGTATCTATATACAATTTCTATCTTTATCTTCTGCTATCATGCCTTTCAAGTCATAGGCTCTTTCCTGACAAGCAGATAGTGAGCAGAAAAGAAGTTTTACTCAATACATTTGTTTCAGGAATCAGAAGATGCTGGTGATTTGTTGCCTGTTTTGAACTTTGTAAAAATTATTTCAAAGGGCATGGCTGCCAGGCTGCAGTCCCAGAAAAGAGAAAAGAAGGAAAGAAAAATTAAAAAAAGGAAAACAAAACCAAAAAGAAGTCTCCCAAAAAAACCCTGGCTTCAGCTTTTTAATTTGTATTTTTACATTTTTCTCCTGTCTTTTTTTTTTTTTGATTCCATGTTCTTTTTGCAATTCTGCCTTAAAGGCAGATGAAAGCCAAGCGATTATTCACTCTATCTATATATAGCTGCAGTGTGTAGAGCAAGGAGAGTTTATGGACAAAAGGAACCTTTCATCTGTTCCCACCACTTGGCATTAAAACAAGGCTTTTAATATAGATCTACATCTGTTGATAATACAATATGTAAGAGCAAAAAAAATACACAAGCCTAATGGCAAAGTTTGAGATTAGATCTTGATCTTGCAGAATTGTAATCCTAGCTATTTAATCCAGTTCACATTGGGATGTGATGTTTAGATCACAAAGCAGGCTAAGTGGAAAAGTTGCAAGACTCTGAGAGTATTCTGGATTTAGAAAAGTGTGTGGTTCAAACATATTTCACTGAAGCACAAATGTTTGCAGCAGGAAGGGGACCCAAGTAGGCCACCCTGGGAGGTGATGAGATGCTGTAAGAGCACCTGTGCTGGAGTTGGAAGTTGGCTGCAGCATGTTGCATGGCATCTAAGTTCTAGTATACCTGCCATGTGTACACCTTGGCTGCCCAGAGAAGCTGTGGCTGCCCCATTGCTGGCAGTGTCCAAGGTCAGGTTATATGGGGCTTTGAGCAGCCCAGTCTAGTGGAAGGTGTCTCTGCCCATAGCAGGGGGAATAAAACTACATGATCTTTAAGGTCCCTTCTAACCCAAACCATTCTATGGTTATGTGATTCTGTGATTCTATGAACTAAGGCCATTTCAGAGCTACTGTGTTTTCTTTGGGCTATTCTGAACCATCATGTTACTTGGAGACTATTTGTCACTGAATAGAAGGAGTAGAGGAAGGAAAGAAGATCTATTACCTTTTGCTTGTTTGTCTTCTGCAGTAGCTTTGGGTTATTTGTTGCGAGTTGTAAAATAACATGGTCAAAACTCTGAAATTTGCATAGAATTTCATTATACTTCTTGAGATAAAGACTGTAAATAATTGATTTTTCACTGGCCTGAGAATTTCCAATAATTCTGACTAGTAAGATTACACACTGAGAGAAGGAGAGTTGGGAGGTTTGACTTCTGAATAAACATTATCTCTGCCTTATTCCATATCCAATGCCTTCCACAATCTCAGTAAGGGAGACAGGAAAGAAAAGGCTTTTCACTGAGTTAATGCTATTGTAGACTTACTAATGCAAGGACTTCCTGTTACTCATCAATTTAATATTGAATTTCCCTTTCAGGTTTAGCTTATCTTCTAATGCAGTTCCCACCTTCTCCACTTTTGTATGTCAGTCCACTCAGTCATCACATCTTATTTTAAAATTGTGCTGTACATTTTTTTAGTTTAAACATCGAAAACAACAGAATCAGCTGGTACTGAAAGCAATTCTTCCTTATTTGGGGTTTCTGTGTATTTTATTGTGCTATATAACATAAAGTTTCTTTGTGGGTGGTTGCAAGGTAACATAACATAGCTTTCTGTTCTTAACTTTTCCACTCTGAGGTTGAATGTTCTTAACTTTTCCACTCTGAGGTTGAACCTTTTCCACTCTGAGGATGAACCTTAAGGAATCCTTAAGGATTACCTTTTGTAGTCCTTAAATCACTGTAATAACAGTTGGGAAATGAGACATATAGCCCGATGTTGTACAACCTTAGATGAAAAATTAACCAACAGGAAACGCTGCAGAACAAGGGTTCAGCTGGAAGCAATGTATCAAAGACACCAGGACTCTGACCAAGATACTGAGTACTTTGGCACACAAGGGAAACTTTGTCTTAGAGAATTACTGTTGGAACTAGCAAAAATGCATCCTCAACCTATCCGTTTCCTTTTCCATTTTCCTTTTCAAGCTATCCTCCCTTTTCCAAGCTATCTCTCCCTTTTCAATGCTGTTTTTTTGTATCTAACTCAAGCAGTTTGCTTTTGTTAGGTGGCATATCTTGAAACACCACTTCCCCTGGAGAACTAGCTATTTCATGCAGAGGCAATGCATGCACTATTTTTAGTAACTTTCTTTAATACCAGATTGTCTTCCCTGTATATTTCAAAGATGTTCAGCTGATTTTCCCAAGTGTGTATAAAGACTATGGTCTTTATCTGTTTGTTGTTTTTTTTTTCTTTGGTTGGTTTTTTTTTAAGAAGAAGAAGTGGCTTTTATATTCTTGAAACATATTTAAATGATTGATATCGATCATTTAAATAGCAAAAAAGATGATGTCTTCTTTCTTTTCAACTACATAATCTCCACAGAGCAGGGAATCCATGCACAGCAATTCAAGAAAGGCTTGACCAATAAGTCTGTCATCAGCCTTGGGTGAAGTAATAGAAAAGCTGATCTAGAGGTCAAGAGGTAAAGAACAATACAAAGAAATTGATAAAAATGGTCTCATGAAAAGTGAGCTTAACAAACAGACTGCAATTCATTATTTGACCATTATTATTATCAGTTTATTATGATATAGCACAATAACGTGGCATCTGCATTCTTTAAAGATACTGAAAAGCTGAAAAAATGTGTAAAAGAATCACAAACATTATTTTGAGTCCTGAAGGAAGGTGTTGCAGGAGGAGGCAGAGAGTTCAAGCTGATTTAATTAACAAGAGAAAAAAGGGAGAAGTAATTCAGGTACAAAGGCCCCTAGCAGGACAATATACTAATGATTACTCTAAATCAGTGAAGACACTCCAACAACTGCTGAAGCTAATCAAATTCACACAGGAGGCTTAAATTTTAACAATGTGAGCAATTAACCTTTGGAGCAAATATCATGGATCTCTGAGCATCTGCAGATTAAAACTTCATATCTTTCTGTAAATTGTGCTTTAGAACAAAGTTGTTTGGCTTGTTATAGTGATAAATGGCTGATATTTAATGATCTGTAACATGGACGAGATGAAAGTAGGAGATATCAAGGTCTTTTCTGGATTTAAACCTTATGAATGTATGATGCCTCAATTAAATTTAGAAACAAGGACAGTAGGGCCAAAGGGGATATTTTGGCCTGGTTGTTCTAGCCAGATTTTCTCATCCCAAACTTAATCATATGCTTAATAAAGAACTACTGTCTGCACTGATATAAAAATGAAAATAATCCAGGATTATGTAAATTACCTTGGTGAGGGCAATAAAAAGGGGGACAAGTTTTTTTGTGATTTCTTCATGAGCTCCACCTTTTTGTAATTGCAGGAGATACCAGCATCAACTCATTATCACTGATGTGCTTCTCAGAAATACTTCAAGTTTTGTTGATCACAGAAATGTGGGATTGTGTAATGAATATGAATTAATGACTTCATTAACTGGTAGATCAGTGAACAAATGTAAATGCATTTCACTGCTAATACCATGAACAGTTTTATTCATTTTCAATTACAGTTCAATTATGCTTATTATGTCAATAATATTCATGTAATGCACAGGAGATGTGAGAATAGCATGATAAACAGAAAGATGCCAGAATTTAATGTCAACGTAGTGCAGTGATACAAAAAGAACTGCAGATATGGCACACATAAAATGTGGACATTAACTTATAAGGATTAGTAATACTACAAAGGAATTAATTCCAGGTTGGGGTGTTGCT